TGTCCTGCACTCATTACCTGTATCTGACTGACTAAATACTTTTTTGCCCCACTGTATCTGTGTGATTGGATTAAGTCCCAGATTCTGGACAAAAACACAAAAAATGCTAAAAAGATGGAAAAAGAAAAAAAAAAGCCTACTTGAGATTTATTCTTATACAAAAGTCTGCTTTAATACAAAGCCTAAAAAGGAAGGATGCCATGGTAAAATTAAAACATGCTAAACAGATGTGTGCCTATTTTAGCGAGACAAAATATCTACAACATTATATTATATGCACAAATATATCCACCAGAACTCCTTCTCAACATAACTCTTCTATAGCCGTTTCAACTGTTTCTCTAGCAGTATCTATTTAAACCCCATGAGGTAAGGTGTGTCACCTCTCAACCCTGGGGTGCAGGGGAGATATACTTGCTTACATGTGTCATGATCGCACGGTTGCCGCCACCAACATGCGACAATCGCACAACCGCGACTAACAGTAATACGTTACGCCCGCGGCGTCAGACCCCAGACCTTCTCACCAAACTCGTGACCAAAGGACCGGCCGATCTAAAACCGCAGTGTGACGCGCGTAATAAGGCCACACCCAGCTGCACCCTGCACAGCGATTGTCCAGCTAATGGGCTACAATCGGTGCCTGCAGCCTGAATGCGCTGGTTACTGGGTCGGGTTAATTACGCAACCAACCCTCTACTGCCACCACCACTTTTGTCGGAGACTGGGAAGCTCCCGTTATCAAATATACACTATAATGATTGAAAAGTCGCCTGTCCAATACGGTCACCGCAGGCCGATTGGGCAGAGGAGTAAACAAACACAGTAGCATCTCTTCAAAGGCAGGAATTCATGAATTGCAAGTAAGCACTTAGAAATAGTTTGACTCTTTTAGTAATAAATCTTTCTTTCTGAAAGTGTTAAACAGGTGCAATAAAATATTTACAAAGAAAATGTAACTATATATATATATGCATATAAAAAAGGTACAGCAAAGAGATAAAAGGAAGGAAATTAAAGAGTTCAGTTACTTGCCACTATGCCATGGTTTGTAAGCAGATCCAAGTGCAGAGCAGGAAGGGTCTTTGATCTCCTCTGTTACGATGTTAAACTCAGGAGATGTGTGTGTTTAACATCCAGGCCTGCTAGCCTGTCTTTTTTTTAAAAATCCCCCTGCCAGGGGGAGTGGCTCTTAATCTGCCCAATACAATATTTTGGGCAGGAGGTCAGTGCACTCTCAATTAAAACTAACAGCTTCATACTCCATGATATGAAACATAGGTGACAGCTGACCTGAGGAATGTTCAATTAACTGCTGGTCAGTTTTATGAGGTTCCAACTTCTTTCAAGTCCAGGGAGAAGCTGTCTTCAAGTCTTTCAAGTCCAGGGAGAATCTGTTTTTATGATGGGTGAGCCTACACAAGTTTCTCAGGTCAGTGCTTTTAAGTGAGAAAGGTTACACTTCCGCAGACGGCCTGGCACCAGACTGAGGATGCCTTAACTTGGGTTGACCCCCTACCATCTGTCACTCAGGAGATAACGTTTGCCTATCAGGAAGGGAGGGGGTAGGGAATGAGGGCTAAGGAATACTTCCAATAAAAAGAAAAGGAAAAGGGGAACTCTGCGTCCAACTCTGATGAGCAAGTTTGGTACAACATGTATTCCCACAAAGATAGTATATAGAATACTCAGTAGTGAATAGTATGCACAGTTCACAGGAAGTATTTACCTTCATACATCCATTATCCTCAATGAAACCATAAATGTTGCAAGTGTTAAGCTATCAATATAGACCCCGAAAACATCAAATAGTTACATTCTGAATTTGAGAGGCTGCACATGTATCTCCCCTGTGTGCACTCTTGTCAAGTCAGCATGAACTCAGACACAGTGGGTTTGATTTATTCAAGAGGAATAGGCTATTCACTTCACAAAAGAACTTGCACTTTTCAAATTTTCCCCAGAGCTTAGTGAATGAGGTAAAGTTCTGATGACTTCCATCATCCAATCATGTGCAAGTGATTGAATATGCTTTGCAAAGTGAAATTTCTCAACATTCAGCAAGCTCTCTTCACTTTGCAAGGAAAGTTGCATTTTGCTAAGAAAAACAGTCCATTTGCCTTCAGTAAATCAACTCCAGTGCCTTGATAAGTATGGTATCCTTAAAGTGTCTTTAACCTATTATGGTAGTATAGGTAATATTTTCACAGTGGACATCAATGTGTAAGACTTCTTGTTGGTATAATACTTTAAGCACATCACAACTGTGCTATAGCCGAATGACGGCTACAGCGCAGTTGTCCAGTTCTGGGAGAGCGTCATATGACATCCTCCCAGAACATACCCTCCCATGTGCCCCCATCGCTCTCCATGATCGCTGTGTCCTACGGAAACAGCTGATCACATGAGATAAAAGGCCAATCACAGCGGCCTTTTACCATGTGATCAGCTGTGTCCAATGACACAGGAGATCACGAGTAGGTACAGTTGATGGTTATCGGCGGCACTTTTCCTCACACTGTCACAGCACGAGGAAAGTATTGCCAATAACCAGCAAATCTCACAGAGCAGATTGGCACTGATCATCAGGGCACTGTAGGCCCAATAGTGCTGCCCAGCAGTGCCCATCATTGATGCACATCAGTGCCAGCTCATCAACACATAACAGTGAAGGAGAAAAATTTACCAGTTTAAAAAAAAAAAAAAAAAAAAAAAAAAAAGCGTATAGTGCAAAAAATAAAAACACTCAGTGGCAATTAAATACCACCTAAAGAAAGCCATTTGTGTGAAAAACAAATGATAAAAATTTCATATGGGTACAGTGTTGCATGACTGCGCAATTGTCATTAAAAGTGGGAGTGCCAAAAGCTGAAAATTGACCTGGGCCTGAAGGGGGTAAAAGTGCCCGGTAAGCAAGTGGTTAAATGTAGATTTATTAAAAAAAAAAAAAAAATGTATGGTTGCATGATATCCACTGCTTCACATCCATACATACTGTAATTTTTTTACTGTGAAGGTAGATATTAAAATGTTCACTTGTGACAATACTTCCAATTATATAAGAAGCAGTTCAAATGAAACAGGATCTATAGGCTTAACATACCCTCACAGTGCTTATTTAATACATACTAAAGTTCAAGATCCCTGATTAAGTGTGATGAGTTAAAGCATACAGTTCTATGGAATGATTTCCCAGGTAATATATCTCGATTGTCTCAATGGTGACTTATGGCAGTTGTCTCATCGTCATTCCATCATGTCCAGGCCTGTACACCTGACCAGTTTAGAGGATCTCTTCCAGCTGACTCAGAGACCTTACACCTCTGATAAAGCTGGGAGATGCCAGTGAAAATAGCCAGGCATATGAGCATAGACATGATTGGTGCCAATAAGACTCCTACCAAGATTAAAAATTAGGGCTATAGAGATATAATTGGAATATTATTCTATGGAACTGTGAAGTTTAACTTATGCACACTTGGATCTATAATAGAACTTTCCTATAAGGATTTTTCCTCCATTAGGGTATTGATTTATATAAGCATTGTGGATCACCTGGTACATCTACAGTGCCTTGAAAAAGAATATTCATACCCCTTGAAATTTACAACATTTTGTCATGTTACAATCAAAAACATAAATGTGTTTTATGTAATGGCCCAGTCAAAGTCCAGACCTAAATCCAATTGAGTATCTGTGGAAAGACTTGAAAATTGTTGTTCACAGATGCTCTCCATCCTATCTGACAGAGCTTGAGCCATTTTGTAAAGAAGAATGGACAAAAATTTCACTCTAGATGTGTGCAAAGCTGGTAGAGACATATCCAAAAAGACTTGCAGCGAAAAGGTGGTTGTACAAAGTATTGACTCAGGGGGGATGAATACAAATGCACGCCACACTTTTCAGATATTTGCAAACATTTTTGAAAACCATTTATCATTTTCCTTCCACTTCACAATGTGCCACTTTGTGTTGGTCTATCACATATAATCCCTAGAAAATACATTTACGTTTTTGATTGTAACATGACAAAATGTGGAAAATAGGGGTATGAATACTTTTTCAAGGCACTGTATAAAGATCCGGTTTCATTCAAACTTTCATGTCATTTGAAATAGAGTCACAGGTGAGCAGTTTAAAATCTGCCTCCACAAAAAAATTACAATAGGTATTGATGTGAAGCAGAGGACACTATGCCCTTAAAACATATCTGTTGACCACTGAGCAACAATATCTTAATATATAAAGTGGGTATAGAAAAGAGAGTCATCCCCTTTCAAATAATCACATTTTGTTGCTTTGCAGCCTCATCTGACCATGACCGACACAGGATAGAAGGTAAAATAGATAAGGCAAAATACCATCAAATTCTTGAGGAAAATCTGCTGCCCTCTGCCAGAAAGTTGTCAATGGGAAGAAGGTTTGATTTGGGTCATTGACATGTTGAAAGGTAAAGAGAAAAATGACCACATAGTAGTTGGAGAAAAAAGGTGAATGTCCCCATTGAAAATCTATGAAATGATTTGAAGACTGCATTCCACAAATGGTCACCATCAAACTTTAAATGAACTTGAGCAGTTCTGCAAAGAAGAGTGGGCAAAGATTGCAAAATCTAGATGTTCACACTTAGTAGAGACCTATCCCAATAGACTAAAGGCTGTAATTAATACAAAAAGGTGGTTCAACTAAACATTGACACAAGGGGTGATCTCTTTTCCAACTCAGTGATTCTGTTTTTGATTTTTAATTTTTTTTTTCTGACATGTTGGTGTTCGATATCTTTCACTTGGATGCTACAGCTGGATATAAAAAAAAAAAAAAAACAAAAAACAAAACCCACAAACACTGTCTGTCCATCTTCATTTCAGGCTGCAAAGCAAGAACATGTGATTTTAAAAAGGGGGTGATTCTTTTCTACATCCACTGTAAATCTTGTATAACAACAATAACTTTCCATTCTAAAGGGTTGTGCATATGTGAATGCACATGTGACAACTTACTTTATCTGACGCCACCTGTGTTCACAAACCCAGTTATTGCCACAAGTTGTATCTTCATTAATTGTGACAGCCATGATTGACCCATTATTGTAGCTTGGTGGTCCAACCCAATCATTAATGTCCTGCAGATAAACAGCATCATTGTGGTTTATTCATCTTACTTATGGACTCCATTTTAAAACTATTTCAAAAGAGATAAAAACACAACTGTTCTGATGGCAGCCAGTTGTATTTTACTTTCATTTCACTGGGAGAAAGAAAGATAAAAAACTTTTTGATTAATTAATATTTTGATTAATCAGCACATTTCAGTCTGTCATTATAGCTTCACATTAACCGCTTTCTTGTCGCCCTATAGCAGAAATACTGCTACAGGGCGGCAGGGGTGCCAAAACCACACATACATACATCCGTACACACACACACACACACGTGCTTTTACATTTCTGGGCATCCAAGCCACGCACATGCCCTATGCGCACCGCCATTTGTGGCCTCGGCTGTCAATCGCCGGGTCCCGGCGGGTCCCCGGCACCCGGTGATTGCCAAGTATTACCGATGGGGGAGAGAACTGTATGTAAACGATACAGTTCTCTCCCCTGTCAGCTCCAGCCCACTGCTTTGTATGGATCTACATAGCAGAGACATACAAAGCAGTGTGCTTTCAGTGCAAAGCACAGACACAGCCTCATAGTAAAAACACATGGCACACAGTTAACCCTTTGATCGCCCCAGATGGTAACCCCTTCCTGCCCAGTGCCATTAGTACAGTGTCAGTGCTTTTTATTAGCACTGATCACTGTATTGGTGTCCCTGGGGTGTGTCAGAATGCCCGCTACAAGATGCTGATCACCAACATTACTAGTAAAAAATAAAATTCCAGAATACATACACTGCCATTTGTAAATGCTACAACTTTTACGTAAACCAATTTACTCGTATTGGGATTTTTTTTTTTAGCAAAGACTTGTAGCAGAATACATTTTGCCCTAAATTTATGACATAATTTGATTTTTTTTTATATATTGGACATGTTTAATAGCAAAAAGTCAAAAATATTTTTTTCCTCCAAATTGTCGGTGTTTTGTTTATAGCGCAATAAAAAATAATTAAAACAAAAACCATACCACGCACAGGCAATTACCACCAAAGAAAAGCTCTATTTGTGGGGAAATAAAGGACATAAATTTAATTTGGGTGCAGCATTGCATGAGTGCACAACTGTCAGTTAAAAATAAACCAGCACCGTAATGCAAAAAAATGGCCTGGTCAGGAAGGGGGGGTGGGAATAAATCCTCGAGGGCAAGTGGTTAATAAAGCACAAAATAAAAACACAAACTAGCTTCTAGTCAAATGCAGAAAAAAGGCTCTGTACAGCCTAAGGAATAAAGCTTGAGAGAGGCTCAAATTTAAGCAAATAGCAATCTAAGATGTCCACAAGGAATATTTATGAAAAATATGTAATGAATAAAAACACAGATTTTTTGCTGTTCAGCATCAGTTGGAGGGAGGGGGAACCGAATTTGAGATATGGCTAATCAAATTATAAAAAGCTTACCTTTCCATTGTCAAAGTTCCTTGGCCAGCGAAAGCTTGACATGATTCGCGTAAATCCATAAGGATGTGCCAGCATGAACCCAGTTGCCATTTTGTATAAGCTGATTTCCAAGGGGGGGGGGAGGGAACAAAATAAAATACTGAGTTTTTGTGTTTTTGTATCTAACGAAAGTAAGGCATTTATCAAGATACAGTCACTTCAGTTTTGTAGTTCAAAAGCTATGTTTCTAACCATGCATTAGGAACAGTTACCTTTTGATGTCATGACAGACATAATCATAATAAGACATGGGATCATCATAACTGATTCCTTGGGGCAGTTTTAAGATTCTTGGTTGGATACATTTAGCCCCTTCACGTTACTCTAAAAAAAAAAATAACAAAAAGGGGGCAGCCCAAGGGGACAACAGACGGTTTAAAAAAACTTTTAAAACTCTTGCTGGAGCTGTAGAGTCACAGCATTGTCCATTTGTCTTTCCCAAAATGTCTTCCTGCATCTATTCTAGGAGACAAGTTTGTTTCCAAGCAGCCTTTTGGCTTAGGGGGGTTGTTTGAACCTGTCTGTATGTTTCTGGTAGACTTTTTCAGTAGATAAATTAGGAGGATCAACCACTGAGTTATAAATATTCAGACCTGAGCAAATATCCAGAAAGGTGGCTTGGGAGATAAATATTTGGGAGGCTGTTCAGAGTGTTCTTTTCCTGGGGCTGCTGCCACTGGGATGCAGCATATGAACTGGAGAGCTGATGTTGGGCCTCAGCATGTGCTTTAGGGAATCCAGATGAAGGGTACTTTCTGGTGGGCATCATCTGTGAAAGATGACCTAAAGAGGGATCCTTTTATCATGGAAGAATGTTGCATGGAAGCTGGTTCCAGATTAGCTGGTCATTCCCTCTAAGACCAGGAAGGCAGTTGTAAACTTATTCTGTTGAACGTTTGTCCCCCTGTTCATTTTTTTTTTTTTTTACATTTGGGAGTATCCTGCACCCTTATTCTGCTACTGTTCAAGTTTCTGCAATAAATCCACAATAATACATTTTCTCTAGACTAAGCCTACATTCATCAGTGTGCTTTCAGCGGTGTCTGGCAGCCTCTGTACTCTCTAAAGAGGAGCCTGGTCATTCTCAACAGCCCTTCTGTTAGTGAGAACTACATATACTGTAAAAATAAAGAAGTGAAGGTAGAAAAAGACTGAGTGGTCCATTGAGTCTGCCCCTTTTGTGTGTTTTTTTTTTTTTTTTTTTTTTTTGGGGGGGGGGGGGGGAACTTTTTTTTCTGAGTATAGATCTATGTTTGTCCCAAGCATGTTTGAAGTTATTTACTGTTGACTGGCTCACTACCTCTGCTGGAAGTTTTCCAAGCATCAACTATTCTTTCAATAAAATCGTACTTTCTGAGTTCATTTTTTAACTTTGCTCCAGTTAGTTTAAGGTAATGTGCCAGTGTTCTTGATTTTGTTTCATGTTGAAAATATTGCCCTCCTGAACCTTATTCACCCCCTTGATGTATTTAAAGGTTTCAGTCATGTCTCCCCTTTCCCTTCTTCCCTCCAGACTGTACATGTTAAGTTCCTGAGGTCGCTCTTGATATGTTTTATCCCCCAGACCTTTCACCATTGTATATACAGTGGGGATCGAAAGTTTGGGCATCCCAGCTAAAAATTTGTATTAATGTGCATAAAGAAGCCAAGGAAAGATGGAAAAATCTCCAAAAGGCATCAAATTACAGATTAGACATTCTTATAATATGTCAACAAAAGTTAGATTTTGTTTCCATCATTTACACTTTCAAAATAACAGAAAACAAAAAAAAATGGCGTCTGCAAAAGTTTGGGCACCCTGCAGAGTTAATATCTTGTTAATAACTGCCCCCTTTGGCAAGTATCACAGCTTGTAAACGATTTTTGTAGCCAGCCAAGAGTCTTCCAATTCTTGTTTGAGGTATTTTTGCCCATTCTTCCTTACAAAAGTCTTCCAGTTCTTTGAGATTTCTGGGCTGTCTGTCACGCACTGCTCTTTTAAGGTCTATCCATAGATTTTCAATTATGTTGAGGTCAGGAGATTGTGAAGGCCATGGCAAAACCTTCAGTTTACGCCTCTTGATGTAATCCCCCGTGGATTTCGAGGTGTGTTTAGGATCATTATCCATTTGTAGAAGCCATCCTCTCTTTAACTTCAGCTTTTTCACAGATGGCATCAAGTTACCATCCAAAAATTGCTGAAATTTTATTGAATCCATTTTTTTTCCTTCTACTCGTGAGATGTTCCCTGTGCCACTGGCTGCAACACAACCCCAAAGCATGATTGATCCAACCCCATGCTTAACAGTTGGACAGAGGTTCTTTTCAATAAATTCTGTGCCCCTTCTTCTCCAAACGTACCTTTGCTCATTCCGGCCAAAAAGTTCAATTTTAACCTCATTTGTCCACAGAACTTGTTTCCAAAATGCATCAGACTTGTCGATTGTTCATTTGCAAAGTTCAAACGATGATTTTTGTGGTGAGGACGTAGAAGAGGTTTTCTTCTGATGACTCTTCCATGAAGACCATATTTGTACAAGTATCTCTTTATAGTGGAATAGTGTACCACAACTCCAGTGTCTGCCAGATCTTTCTGGAGGGATCGTGCAGTCAAACGTGGGTTTTGAATTGTTTTTCTCACAATCCTGCGAGCTGTTCTGTCTGATATTTTTCTTGGTCTTCCAGATCTTGCTTTAACTTCCACTGTTCCTGATGACTGCCATTTCTTAATTACATTCCGAACAGAGGATATTGACATCTGAAAACGCTTTGCTATCTTCTTATAGCCTTCTCCAGCTTTGTGAGCGTCAACTATTTTCAGTTTCAGTTTTCTAGACAACTGCTTAGAAGAACCCATGGTGCTGATTGTTGGGGCAAGGTCAGATGAGTCTGGGCATTTAAAACCTTTGAGATTGACATCACCTGGTCTTCCCAGACGATGATTGAGAACAATCCATGACACTGGCAGGTCTCAGCTTGGCAAAGGGGGCAGTGCATGCTATAAATTCTGCAGGGTGCCCAAACTTTTGCAGACGCCATTTTTTTGTTTTCTGTTATTTTGAAAGTGTAAATGATGGAAATAAAATCTAACTTTTGTTGACATATTATAAGAATGTCTAATCTGTAATTTGATGCCTTTTGGAGATTTTTCCATCTTTCCTTGGCTTCTTTATGCACATTAATACAAATTTTTAGCTGGGATGCCCAAACTTTCGATCCCCACTGTATGTAATAATGCATTGTAAAAAAGGAGCTGATCACACACACACACACACGGATGGGCATAGAACAAAGCTATATTAAATTTTGAAAATGGTTGGAATCTTTATAGATGATGATCCAAGGTGGCCACAACACATTAAACGAGGACAATGGAGATTGTTTGGACTACATTTTAGACTACTCCAAAATGGCTATTTCAATACTTGCTGCAGGCAGAGTGACATAGGGAGGGAAATACTCTGTAAGCAGGTGCTTCCAAAGGGTAAACATTTTTCTTCAGCGCTAACTTATGTGCTGAAGCTATCTGGGTCCACTGAGCTATTTTCATAATAACTTCTACAATATAGATATGTGTGCTGTGTCCTTGGGTTGACCTGCTGAGCTGGTGGTAACTAATCAGAAAGGGTTCATGTTTTTCCCTGCACTGTATAGCAAAGTCCTTGCAAGTCATACCAAATCTAAAGAGAGCTCTTCAGTATCCAAGGGAGAGCAGCTGGAAACACTGCCAAGATGTAGGCTGTTACTCTGGAAGTCTGTGCCCCCATGTGGGGGCCCCAGTCGGGGTTTCTTATGCGGCTGGGAACTCTTAGCTACCAGTTATGGACTTCTTGCCTTTTGCAGAATACTGCAAAATCTGGGACCTTAAGGATTAAATTGCCTTCAAGAAATCTTGCCTTGAAAGGGTTGTTTGAATAAACTTGCCATTTTCATAAGGTTCAATCACTTTACAGGACACTTCGAGAACTCTGTACAGGAATGTATGTGAAGATGCTGTGGAGGAACTGTTCCTGTATGCTGGTTGCACCATTTCAGTAAAGGCTTTTGTTGTTCCGTTTAATGCCTGGTCTGAAGTCTCAATAAAGGGGTGCATCCACACTGTGTATTAAAAGAACAGGGCTTACATGGAGGGGACTAGAGAGAGTTAGAGTAGGTGCAGTACATTTAGTCCATTATGTAGGATGTTGTCTAGGTTTGGCTACACTGCCGTTGCTAGGGACAACTGTACCTGTATCTTTTGCTAAAGGCAGCCAACAAGCCAGGAATGGGTGAATGGCAAGGGTGATGGTTACTCTGGTATTGAAGGGGTGCCGTGCTTGACCCCTTCACTGGCAACCGGTTCCCCACATACTGGGACTGACCTTGCGGTGCAGTGTACCTAGGGACCTGGCCTGTAGGTCTGAAGCCTGAAAGCAAGCATGTGGTCATAGCTAAAGTGTGTTTCCTGTATCCAGTAACAGCAGTCAGACATGTCACTAGGAGTGAGATGTCAGAAACTGCTGCATTGGAGGAGGACAGTACAGGCTCTGTGGTGCTGGTTCCTAAATGCTGCACACCTTGGAAGTGGTGCTCTCTAACAAGTAGTTGAGTCTAGCATTTTTAGTATTAGCAATGTAACAAGCTTGGCCTCTAGTAAGTGTGCAAGTGCTGCTCGCTTCTAAGTTTGGGAGATCAGCCTTAATGTTGACGACATATGACTGCAGTTCCATGCCCAAGTTTAGGTATTAGCGAGTGCAGTTTTACCGTGTCCCCACTAGGGTGCATTAAGCTCCACCCACAACTCTGCCCTGCAGACAAAAAGGAGGATGGAACTTGTATTGGAGAACAGCAGCAGAAAAGGAGCACAGAGATGACCTACAGGATTTAAATTTGTTCCTGACTAAACCTTTGTCTGCACAGTGTCCAGTACAGATTTGGATTCCATTAATTTCGTAAGAGGAATGAAGAGAATTGGCTACAGTGCATGGGATGGTCTACACAAAAAAAAGAAATTTATATCAGAGTTACTGTCTCACAGATCTCTAGAGCTTCACTACTAGCACTAAGAGATGTCTGTCCACCTGATTTTCAGTTAGCACTCTTTATACTAACTTCTAAGCTTCCTTACTGAATGAATAAGACAGAAATATTAGCTACCTTGCAGAGTGAAATACAGACAACTTCAGAATAAAATTTTGCTGGGCAGAAAAAGAGAAGTGTGTGAAGTGTCTTAAAATAATAGTACACTTTCTGGACCTCCACATTAGAACCACAAACTCTTTCAGAAGGACCCTATTAAACCTAATTTTGTTAATTGGGAAAATATAAATTATTACTTAGTCATGCTGAAATGTTAGTGTTGTGATGGTTTTATAGCATGCTCAATGTTGACCATTTTTTCTAGAATGAAGTTGTGCTTTATTTTCAGTCTGGTTACATTGTGCTCCCCTGTGATACAGCAGGGGAAATGGAACAAATTAAATAATCTGGATTGAGAAAAAAAAGGGTAATCTGATATTTGTTAACTCTATTCATACCAGACTTCTGAATGGCCCAATATTAATTCCTGGGAACAACAGGGTGATTCTTAAAGAAACATCACAGCACATTGTACTCTTGTATGTAGTATGGGAAGAACAAGGCTCAAAATAACCAATTTGTTCAATGGTAAAAAGGGGTCTTCACTGCATCCATTTGAGTGGTCTGGAAAAAGCAGATTTTGTATGAGGGAGCTTTTTATGGATGATTAAGACAAGGAGTGGAACAATTACAGTATTTTTACAATAAAGTTATCAGTGAAAAATCTTTAGAGCCTCTATGGCTTCCATTGTTTTTAGTGGTTTTACATTCAAACATTAAAAAGGAATAATACATGTAGAATTACAACAGGTAAGGAAATCAGCTTGTCCCTGAAACTAAGACAAAGTAATTGCCAATTAGTAATCAATGTACAAGGTTGAGAGTGAAGTGTGGGAAAAAAAAAAAAACCTCAACCCAGGGTTGTTTTTTTTTTTTAATTTGAGGGAATTAGAGAAGTTTCTAGATTTTGGGTATTAAAACTGAAAAAAATAATGTGAGGAGGGGCTTTACCCTTGCAAGCTTGCATTTGCAATCAGATGGTTATAGAGTTAGTTTGTTATAGAATGCAATATGTGTCTGAGGAATCTTACATGTGGTATTCATCCCAAATATAAGAAACTTGCTGGAAAGCTCAAATCTACATTTTTTACCTACTGCACAAAGTTGTAAGTTTAGCTTTGGTAATGTAAACTGATAAACTCCACAAATTAAAGGACATTACCCTGTACTTAAACAGTTACCCCTGATATTAACAGCTATGCTTTACCGAGCATCCCAGAAGGTCAGTATGGAGGCTCCTCCAGCACCATGTCCTCTCTGGTTGTCATGGTTATCCACAAACACCAAGGTTTTGTCACTAGGCATAAATCCCCAGCCTTCTCCCCAGTTCCTGTATTACAAAAAAAAAAAAAGTTAGACACATCTTACAAGAAAAAAAAAAAAAAAAAACATTCTATGCACTTTTTATTCCACTTTAAGCTTACTTCAAATAGGCCAGCTTTTCTCCATCCCATCTGCGGATCACTTTTCCAAGTTTAGCCCCATATTTGAACTCTGTGATACGTCCAATACTGATGTAATCACTTGCTGAGATACCTTCCCCACCCAGATCAATCACCTGCAAGATAACCCTATTAGCTTTGAGACAATATTTACCCCACATACACTTCTGTTAAAGCCTATAACTAAAAAAAAAAAGTGTCAACCAGGCAGTCTTTGACAGAGGTGTATAAACCTCAGACAGTGATGTAGATAAATACATACAGTATATGTTCCAAGTGGAAAAACAGATGTCATATGCATTTCACCTGTTTTTTTTTTTTGTGCTTTTCAGTGGTCTTTCAAATTTGTATGCTATGCTAGTGCAAGCACCACAGTTTAACATCAGTGAGATTAAAGTAGATTTTGTCATTCCCTGTTTCCAAGCAGGCCTATCCACTCCATAAATCCACAAAGCAAGATTTATTAATAAAAAAAAAAAAAAAAGAAAAAATGGTACAAAGTAAAGTCATACATAATCTTGAAACGGACATAATATTCATACACACAGTATATTAATATAGTCCTCTACCTTCTCAAATGATAGTGATCAGCCATAAAAAGCCAGTGCAGCCAACAAGCTATTTTTTTGGTGCAACTGCTCGAAGGGAGTCTTGAAGGCGGATGCCTATGATATGTTATTGTGCATGCTAAAAGTTATGTTTTCCTTGTAAAATGTTGTTTGCACCATGCATGTCTCTCTCTTGTGCTCAAAGGACTTAATGTGTTCACTTTGTTACCTAGTCATGGGGATTTCCAGTATTCACCGACTTTAGGATTAGGAGCATATACTTAAAATACAGGAGTAGATCTGCATTTGGTAGAAATTTGGAGGGGGGGGGGGTATTGTTGTGCCATAATATATATATGTGATTAGCTCTAGTGGCAGATGCTTTCCAAGTGAGTCCATGCTAGTCAAACTCTTTTTCAGGGCTTGGTAGCACACTTATTAAAAAGGCAAGAAACAAAAAACACATAGTCCAAAATAAGCTTTGCCACATAGGGGTTCTTCTCCAGTGGTAAATACAAATGAAAAATGCCAAGCCTCCTGGCTACTCATTAGCACCTCTGCTGGTATGGGTCTCCCAGACCACTGGCTATTCCTGGCGCACCGCCTCAGACTTCAAACGCACACAGCCTTGAGCCCTTTTGATGCACACAGCCTCCGTCTCACACAGACTCAAAAATGGTAGCCACTGCTCCAAAACTGCACTCCACTCCCCCTGCAACTTTCAGCAGACCATCATAAGGGCTGTGGCCACCTGGGCCTGAACCCTGCTTGTTGACCACAAAATCTATACACTGGATTGGAGATTTCTTCCCTCCCACAGCACTTTGAAATCTCCAAACTACTGAGCCCCATCCAGAAATCTCAAAATCCAGAGAAACCTGCAACAGCACTTTTCTCCACTCAAAATCTACGCTCTGCAGTTCTGCACATATACAGACCCTGTGTCCATTACCTGACCACTTCTGACTATTTTTATCCTGTGACAGGGCCCTGCACAGTTACAATACACACACACTTGTGCAGGATGCAAGAACATTCCACATTTCAAGTCACCTCTAGCAGGAACTTGGTCAAGGTTTCACAGCAGCCACTTATAAATCCTTTGCTGTTAGAATTTTTTAAAAAGATGTATGATGGGATTTTTGGAAAGTGTTATGTTGGAAAACCTTTGCCTGGTTTGAAGTTATTTGGAGGACACCAAATGGTGTATTCCAGACAAGGTTATCTTAAAAAGGGAAAGACAGACATTGTAAGATGAAGATGCAGTACAAGTGTACAATGTGCTGCTAAGTTAACCCTTGCGGTTGGGTTACTGCTGCCAGGGAAATACAGTACAAGTGTCCACTACTAACAGTAACCAGCCAGGAAGCTGGGCAACTTGGTGCTGTGACAGATGTCCCCAGTAGTAAAGGGATCAGTGAACTTGTGTCCCTTCCTTAGCAGTTGTTATCCTACAACTTGAGTCCAACTGCAGTACAGGGAGTCCTAGGGATCTGGCTTTGGGGATTAAAGCATTGTGCTGTGCTTCATGGAATACATAGCAATATACAATAATGTTAACATGCAGATTAGGAGTGCTTTATCTGAATAAATGAGTTAAGTGTGCCCAACTGTGTCACTGGGATGGCAGGTGGAGTCAAACTATTTGGCACCACCTCAGATTCTGCACAAGATGGTACGGGTTGAATGGGATTCAGCTGTAGAATCATTATGGAGAAGAGCAGTGATGATGTCCATTTGAGAGAAGTGCTATCCATTTGTAGAGAGTACTGCCTTAAAGCCACTACATGTGTTTAGGCAAATACCTCTGTCAGCCTCTAGGGGCAGCAGTGTACACTGCTTACAAGTTTAGTGGAACACAGAGACACTATGTGATGGCAAGCTCATATGGCACATTATTAGTACACCAAATGGTCTAATCTAATGGTCTAATCACATTCAGTGTTCTGTGGTTTGAATTACAGTGGAAATGAAATACTACACAACTGGTATATAAAATACCAAGAATGTGTTAACTAATCTGCCCGAAAATATTAAAGCTAGCAGTACAAATTAATTCCCTGGCTTTTTAAAGGGAAGCTGTTAAGACATTGCAGGATGTCCCTTCTGACTTAATGTGGAACGTCACTAGTAAATGGATAGGAAGTATATTATTTATTTTATACTTTAATTTCTTCAGTTACTTCCATGCTAAAACAAATTATGTCATACATTCCAGCAGTCTTCAGGAGGGGAGGGAGGGTTGTCCGCTCAGCCATTGACTGAGCAAAGGGCAGATGGATTCTTAGAAATAAATGCTACATTAATCATCTGCCTTTACGCAAGCTGGCCACTGCCAGAAATACTAAGGGGTGTTTTTCAAAATCATTTATCAGCGAAATAAAGAATAGAGACATGAATGGACAAGTGACTTTGCTTTGAATATTAACAATGAATTAAAAATAGCATTTTTGGTTTGTGGTGCTCAGATGAAGTGCGGTTCTACTTTAACAAGTTCTTCAGGCTTAGCCAACCATGTAGTTCTAGTTCAGCAATTAAAAAAAAAAAAAAGCAGTGAAAATGGAAGGTGAGGATTTAGCTTGGCAGCTCACATACTTTTTTAAAATTGTTAACAAAATGTGTTCCAATCCTTTAATATGTGCATTTCATCAATATTAGATACATTTGCAACTGATAGACACAGCAGTGCTTTCTGCCAAACTTACTTCCTGGTAGATGAATGGTTGTGTGCCATTGGGGAACCATCTAGTGTTCAAGTTGTTCAGATTCCTTGTAATTGCAAGAATGTCTCCAGGCCACATGTGCTTGGCTGCATCCAGCCTGAACCCAGCTACTCCAATGTCAATAAGATGATTTAAGTATTCTGCAATCTTTGTCTGAACATATTCTCTTTCCAGAGCTAGATCCAGAAGGCTTACCAGCTGACAGTCTCTCACCTTTGTGTAAGCAAGAATGCAAAGAGAAAAATGTGTATTTACCAAGTTATCTTGTAAATTAAGTTCGTTTTGTTTTGTTTTTAAATAAAACACCACAGGATTAACCTTCTCGTGTTTATCATATTGCTATGCAACTTAGTTACTTCAAATTATAGAATAAAATCCTTTGTCTTACTTTAAAAAGTAACCCTCCTAAAGAATTCTGAAAATCTAAAACAAGATGTTGCTCAACAGCAAGCGTCACAGTTGCCGGTTACAACATAGCTATCCAGAAACCTCTCCAGTACCCCATAAGATTGCAGTTTGCTAGTGTGGCCTTGATTTTGGGCCTATACCTGGCCCACTTAGCAACCCTCTGTCCAACAAGTGCATTTATTGGATGGCAAAGTTTCTCACTGGACAGGAGCTGGTGGAGAGGGCCTGAAGTACAGCCCCGGCTAGCAACTAAATGCACTCTCAGACAGAGCATTGTAGGGATTTTTCTGAGCAAGGAAGGCAAACACGATTTACAACAATTATGTAACAAAACGATGGACATGTGCACCTTGTATCACTGGAGGTGGCAAAACTAGGGGGTCTATACATTGTGTTTAATGCTGTGGGGACATCAAGTATGCAAAAACTCATTTAAATAAGTTGAAAGGTATTTTTTCTAACCAAAATTGAAATATTTGGGCACAAATCACCACAAGGGTACGTTTGGAGAAAGGAAACAATCTTAATCTGTTAATCATTAAATCACATAAAAATCAACAAGTAAATAGGACTATGTATTATATTTGTACCAAATAGACATGTTGAAATGTACCGCCTGAGAAAAAAAAAAAAAAAGGGGGGTTGGCAGAAATGATAACCTACTGGAGCTGGAAAGGTGTGTGTGGTTTTTTTTTTATTTTCTCAGGCAGTAAAACCACACACACACCATTCCAGCTCCAGTAGGTTATCATTTCCGTCAACCTTTTTTTTTTTTTTGGTGTTGTATTGAACTACATCAGGTTATAAGGTTCTAGTAGTATGTTCACATCTTGTCAAATTTTATTATATTTGCTACTTTGTCTCACCCAATAAAGATGCACCTTCATTAAGGTGCTTGACAGAGCATTTTCCACAGCTCCTATTCTTTTCAGTTCTCTTCATCATGCAAGTGATGAACAAGGCAACAGTGGTGAGCTCATGATTAACTGTTCACATGTTTCCACCTGGAGTGGCCTTTCTGCGCTCACTTGTATGAGTTTCCCTATCATTTCCATCAACCTCCAGGTGAGAATAAATAGTTTGTGCAATCCATCCACTTTTGATAGAATAAATTAAAAATGTTAAATTGCTTGATGACCGTTATATACATATATACACACACACATACATACATATATACACACACACACACAGTATATATATATATATTTTTTTTTTCTTCTGTGTTGTATTGAACTACATCAGGTTATAAGGTTCCAGTAGTATGTTCACATCTAGTGGAGGTTTTACAGTTACATAGTTCATAAGGCTGAATAAAGTTACCAGTCCAACCTGTGTGGGTATGTGTCCAAAACATTGCCCGTATCCCTGTATATTGTGTTCATCAAAATAACTGTCTAAGAGTTTTTTTAACTATCAATGCTTCCTACTGACACCGCCAATTGTGTAAGTGAGTTCTACATCCTTACTGCCCTGACAGTGAAAAACCTCAAATGCAGTTTAACGTTAAACCGCTTCTCTTCCAATTTCATTAAGTGGCCCCATGTCTTCTTACTCTCCTTGAGATGGAAAATTATTCCATAGTTTCCTACTAGAATCACCACTAAGATACTTGTATATTGCTATCATATCCCCTCTCAAGCTCTTCTCCAGGGAGAATAAGGTTAGTGTTGGTAATCGTTCCTCATAACCAAGGTCCTCCAGTCCCCTTATTAACTTAGTTGCCCTTCTCTGGACTTTGTCCAGTTCCCTCTCCTCCCTCCTGAGGATTGGTGACCAGAACTGGACAGCATACTCCAGCTGCGGCCGAACCAGAGTTTTGTAAAGTGGCAGGATTATAGTTTTGAGTAAATTCCCTTTTTAATGCATGCCAATATTTTGTTTGCTGCAGCTTGGCATTGCATGGCATTGCCAAGCCTGTCATCTAGTAGGACCCCTAATCCTTTTCCATTCTGGATTCCCCAGAGGTTATCTCCATAGCAAGTACTATGCATTCTTATTTTTAGTCCCCAAGTGCATTACTTTACATTTTTCAACATTAAACCATGTATTTACCCACCCTATTATTTTAACCACTTCAAGTCCAGACACTTTTACCCCCTTCCTGTACAGGCCAATTTTTAGCTTTGTGTTATCACACCTTGAATGATAATTGCACGGTCATGCAACACTGTACCCATATGAATTTTTTTGCATTTTTTTTTTGAGACAGATAAAAAAAAAAAAAAAAAAACCTTTATTTTGGTGTTATTTATTCACCACTGGGATTTTTTTTTTGCTATATAAATGAAAAAGTTAAGATTTTGAAAAAAATTGTTTTCTTATAAAATTTTGCAAATAATCTTTCTTCATAAATCTTAGCCAAAATGTATTCAGTTATCTTTAGTAAAAAAAAAAAAAAAAAAAGTTTAACCAAAAATAAATATTTCAAAATTCTTACTTTTTTTATATTATTTCTTTTTTTTTAACATACTGTCACCCTAGCAGTACAGTGTCACCATAGTGACACTGTACTACTTGTGGGGGTGATTTGTTTTCTCTCTTTTTTTACACACCGATTGCTTTTACACCCATAAAGGCTGTAAAAGCAATCATTTCTCCTTCTCTCAGTCTGCAAGAATGCAGCCCAGCCATTGAGAAAATACTGTGAGAGCTATGATTGGTCACAGCTTGTCACATGGTACAAAATTGTTGTGAATAGGCTTGTACCATGTGACCTCTGTGATCATTCACAGATTTCACTAGTAGTAAGGAATGATGTCAGGAAGTGACATCTTGCTTACTACTATTCAATCAGTGATTACATGGATCGTGACCTCACACAGAGGTCTCATACAGTGATCAGTGTTCCGCCGTGGCTCATCCAGTAGAGACCATCAGAGGGCTGTCACCCTCATAAAAGGTTGTGGTATAAGTAACTTCAGATGGACAAGGTCCTGGCTTGGAATCAATAGACTGATAAGTGTTCCAGGGAAGACGCCCTCTGGCGGATAACTGTAGTCATTCACTATTTTACAGAAGGTGGTCTGTGTGAGGAACATGGATTGTAAGGTTGAACAGACCACCATGGATGTTCATTCAGGTTGTGATTAAACAACTTGTCTCCAATTGAAACCATCAATCCACCGCATTAGCGGACAGTTAGGCTGTACGGTGGGAGAGCAATCCACTCTCAGTGGCTCATCCAGCGGGGACCATTTGAAAGTCCATCTGAAAGGACTTATGGCACAACCTTTATGAGGATGACAACCCTCTGATAGATGAGCCACTGATTGTGGATTGCTTTCCCCACTGTACAGCCTAAATATCCGCTGATGCGGTGGATTGATGGTTTCAATTGGAGACAAGTTGATTAATTACAATCTGAGTGAACATCCATGCTGAGTCTGTTCAACATTTATAATCTATGTTTTTCACAAAGACCTTCTCCTGCAAAATATTTTCATGACTGACTACAGCTATCTGCCAGAGGTCATTTTCCTTACTGATTAATTGGTTTGCCTGGAACATCTATTAGTCTATTGATTCCAAGTCAGGATCTTGTCCCTCTGAAATCATTTACAGCACAACTTTTATGAGGGTGATAGGACTTTTAGGTTTTTGAGTTCCTAATTGAAGTGGTGAATTTCTGCAATTATATATATGGCTAAAAAATTGTATAATCTCGATTTGACACCAACATTGATTTATATGCATGATTTAATCTCTTTAGGATTAGTTATTCCCCTATTTGCTATGTCTGTGCTCCACCCCCACACGTCTTCTTTAACCAGGTCATATGGGAGGACTTTGTGGTGATGAATGTGAGCCTTGTAATATATTATTTTGGGGATTGACATCTTACATCTTACCCGGGCTTTCCTAGTTTTAAGTGACAACATTGTCATATTTTAATGGTGATGGGTGAAGACCAATTAAAATTTTTTTTGTACATGCTTGTGCATATGTGTTATATGTGAATCAATAAAGGTTTTTGTATCATTAAAAACTACCTGGGTCACATGAGAGTACATTCTTTTCTATGGAGACTCTCCTCCATATATCTTTTTATCTAATGTTTTCTGAGTACTGTGAACCGCACCTTGTTTTTTGGTTAGTTAACACAATATTTGATTCCCCTGTGTGGTGTTACAGTGGTTTCCTCTGTATCGAACTACATCACTGACCTAATATCTAAGTACCACCCAACACGCACACTCCGCTCCTCACAAGACCTCATTCTCTCTAGTTCCCTGGTCTCCTCCTCCCATGCCCGCCTCCAGGACTTCTCCAGGGTGTCACCCATCCTCTGGAACTCCCTGCCCCAACCCATCAGATTATCACCTACTCTCCTCTCCTTTAGGCGCACCCTGAAAACCCATCTCTTCAGGGAAGCCTACCCCACCCCCTGCTAACTTGCCGACCTCCTCCACTCTTCCTACCACTCCATCCCCCACAGCTATCTCCTCCTGCGCCACCATCCCCTCCCTCCTAGATTGTAAGCTTGAAAGAGCAGGGCCCTCAATCCCCTCATGTTTTGCATTGTATTGGTATTGTTTTGTCACATGTTCTGTCCCCCTTTGTAATGTACAGCGCTGAGCGAACTATCGGCGCTTTATAAATACTGTATAATAATAATATCGTCCCCTTTTTCTTGAAATAGAGTTGCTATCCTGGGAGGTGTCTGTAACATGAAACAGGATTTGGCATTGCTGGAAGATTGGTCAAAGTGGTGGAAACTGCAGATCTGTGTTTCTAAATGTGCTTATCTCAGATGATTGCAAAATAAGCAAACAGTGTGGCCAGAGGGAAAAGCAAATAGAATTCATTACTAGAAGGGTCATCAATAGGAGGAAGGAGGTCCTGATTCCCTTATATAGATCTTTAGTGAGACCTCATTTAGAATATTGTGTCCAGTTCAGAAGACCTCACTTACAGAAAGATAGATACGATAGACCAAGTCTAGAGATGGGTAACAAAAACGGTGAAAGGTCTGGGGGATGAAACATATCAGGAGAGACTTCAGGAACTTCGTGTTACTAAACCCACAACAGTAAAATCAGTCTGTATGTGCAGTAAAGCATGCTTTTTGTACTCACTGTGGAACCTAGGGGGTTAATCCTCTGCACTGTGTAAAAAGGCTGTTTGATTCTGACTTCTCTGCCCCTCCTTTTGTTCAAATGTTCACATGCTGATAAGACAGACTGAACCCGTAGCCTTCAGCACATGCTCAGTTTAATGTGTATTGCAAGGTTTTGTTTTTTTCTTGGGAGAGTGCATGTGATCGGCACAGGAACAATCAGCACTCTACTGGCAGAGGTCAGGGGTTTTACTTCCTCCTAGATCAGAAAGAAAACTCCTCCTACAAGCTTTAACCAGTGCTCAGCTGAAATCACAAGACTGCTCTAACTGCTGATGAGAAAATGTATTTAACAGTTTATATTTACTAAAATAATTGCATTTCCATGGTCTGTGTACTGTGGGAGACCAGATATAGTGAATGCAGGGTCCTGGGTTTAGTAATTTTAATAAGGTCAGTCGGGAGGAGGGAAGGGGAGACATTATTGAAAACCTTTAAATGCATCAAGGGGGTGAATAAGATTCAGGAGAGCAGTGTTTTCAATATGAAGCTAAATTCAAGAACAGAAGAAGAAGAAGAAGAAAGAAGAGACTTGATGGACCATTTGGTCTTTTTTCTACTGTCACTTTTCTGTTTCTAGGTTCTACCTTAAAAACACATCAGCAATGGCAGCTCCCGTATTTCTATTTTCACAGGTTCATTGAAGGATTTAGCATTTCACATGGTATGTCTTATATTCTGATGAGAAGATTCAAGATTTCAGAGTGATATATTCCAAGTCAAGTCAGTTTAATTTGGATTTTTCCACCTGCATGTTGTCAGATACAGGTGAGTAGTTTTATAGAATATGCCAGCAAGTCCCTCCAACTGCTTACTATTAAAAGCAAACAGGTAAATCTCCCACTGGCTTCTTATTCCTGTTGGGTGGTCTAAAATCAAAGAATATACCAATAACATCCTCCTCCGTAAGAACCAAAGTAATTTTTTTTGGTAGGCAAAATCTAAATTTTCATTATATTCTTAATCATAGCCAAAAGCAGCTTAAGTAAAACTGTACTCTACCTGATTAGCATCCTGGTAGTTCTCAATGCCACCACTCTGACTTTTACACTTTTTATCATTAAAGTCTGCACTACTGTAAGGTACAGCTGAGAATTCCCTGTTAATTGCATCATATGGACTGCCACACGTTGATGAATTTCCTTTTCCAGCTCCAGCTCCAGACATATGGTTTATAACAGCATCAGCATATATATAAACCTGCAAAAAAATTTAATAAATTTATCGATTAAAAAAATGTGATGTACAAGAAAACACAACCAAGTAAGAATTGAATACCAGTAAAATAGACAGACATATTCAGCTAGCGCCCAAAGTGGCTTTATTGCTATAAATTAGCAAATCCGTGCCCAACAAGCTTGTTACCCGAGTATATATAGTGTTACATTATATAATTTCATGACAGACATACATAGTTATAAATACAAAGTAGTGGGAGATTCTAAAAAGGGCAATATATAAAGTGTCAAATGAATGAAAGTCATTTGTGTTTTTTTTCCAGCAAACATTTCATGGAAGGCTTGTGGTGTTTATAAGACACCTTTACTACTTCCATTTGCCAAAATACTGCCCAATATGCCCAAGGCTGCCTACAGTTTATAATATTGCAGATGTTTCACCCACATGTGCTGGTCACTTTTAAACAATTCCACACTGTTCAATTTAAAGCAGAATACACAATATGAGAAAAATCGGATGAATGATCATCTGATTTTCCACGGAGGTGCATATCATGTAACCAAGAATGATCTTAACTTGTACAAAAATTCTGGAATGAGGTAGGCAAACAAAGCTATGTACTAAGGCAACGCGATTGTCAGAAAAAAAATAATAATATGCTACTATTCACTGTTTGTGGCTCTTTAATGATGCAGAATATGAAAGTCCTTTCTGCACAATTTGTATTTTCCTTGCCATCTTCTGGGTTGTTCTTTATTTCCGATCATGCGCAGCATTTCCTATACAATTATTTCCGTACAATTACTGTACACATTGAACAAAATTAGACATGTTAACGACTGAGAAAACATTTCTAGCTTGCACCTTAATTTTTTTTTTCATCCAAACAGGTAGAATAGGCTGTCAAAAGTACTATACTAATGAACAGATTACACTGTTCAACAGGTAAAAAGTTTTGGGCATAAAATTAGCTAATCTTACATAATTTTGGGGTGCTGAAAACGAAAATGACCCTAAAAAATGTTGATTGGCTCTAGTTTCCATGATATATTCACCCATGACGTAAGCCATTCAAAATTATGATGCAACTTCAGCTGCATATTGCGCAATTGATACTGGTGACCAATAGAAAATTGCATGTATACTGAGATGATGCAATATTAGCCTTTAATTGCATCACTTCACTGCATAAAAGCTGCAGTATCTGTAGCTGATTGTAGTTCGACAGCGACTTTACATTTCGTTTTATGCTTATATAGGCTACTCAGTAATGTCTTGAACTTGTGTGAATAAAGCAGATAATTTCTGCTATATCTGCGGTGAAATAACTTTTATCTCACAAAAAAGGAGGATAACAGGAATGATTAAGAAAGCCTACAACTTGTATTTTGGCTGCACCAGGACAAGAGCTGGGCACCACATATATGCTGCAATTCTTGTGGGACGGCACTGGAGCAATGGTTGAATGGAAAAAAGGCATCTATGCCTTTCGCTGTGCCAATGATTTGGAGAGAGCCAACAGATCATGTTAGTAATTGTTACTTTTGTATGGTGCCTCCAATTGTAAAAGGGCTAAATAAGAAGAAAAAGTTATCTGTGCACTATCCAAATATTCCATCGGCAATACGTCCAGTTCCTCATGGAGAGGGGCTACCAATTCCTAAAGCACCAGAATCCTTCGTGGTTGAGTCAAGTGAGGAAGAACCTGAAGCGTGTAGTCACGTGCAGTTGTAAGAGATAGCCCTTTCCTCGAATACAAGAGAAAAGCCAAGAGAAGCAAAACCAACACAAACTGAAGACAAAACTAGTGAGAATCCTAAGTATTAAAATGATTCAACTTAGCTTATGGCTATAATTTTTCTTGGTAATCCTATGCAATATATTATGCCATTTAGGCTTTGTTATGTAGTCAATATCACTTGCTTTATATTTGTGGAAAGACATCTATCTATATAATTATTGTGCATTATATAGTCATAACGCCTATAGTAGAAAACTTTCCGTTTACAGAAAAACTAGAGCCAATTGACAAATTTCATTGTTATATTTGAACTCAGAATGTGAAATTCATTAAGAAATGGATCCTTTTGTTTCCAAAACTGGCAAAAAATAAAAATTTGTTGAACAGTGTTATCGACTGATTGCTCCTCATCGCGTGTACAGTCCTTAAGACTTGTTTGCATGTGTTAGATGGAGCTGGTCTCAAAACAATTTGAAGCTGAATGGAGGAATGACCCTTTAAGCATGTACCTAAAACTGAAGTTAGTTTCTAGTTATCTGTCTCCATGCACTGCCCTTAAAATACCGCATTTTAAATCAAACAGAATATATAGGTTCATACCCCCACATTGTTGCATCTGGTGACCATGTCTCTAAATTGTTGCTCATCCCCAGAGCGGGTGCAGATCTTATAGCTGACTGGTTGGTATCTTTCCCACCATGGTCTATGAGGGTTTTCGATGATCAGGTTCTCGCTCGGCGGAGAAATCTGAAATAAACAAGTTAAGAAATACTGATTGCATTAAAATTAGGAACCATTGTAAGAAACTGACTGAGACTTATAACCATACTCATGTGTCAACATCCCTACAAATTTTGGGGTTTATTTACTAAAGCTGGATAATCAGGCTCTTTTCCACATAGAAACCAATCAGCTTCCAGGTTTTATTTCCAAAGCTTAAATTGAACAAGCGGAGGTTAGAAGCTGATTGGTTTCCATGCAGAATCCTGATTTTGCAATCTCCAGCTTTAGCAAATAAACCCTACACTGATCAAACAGAATGTTCACCTGGGACTTTTAAGGCACAAGCATGGAGCACTAAATGCTGGTAGATGTAGTTTAGGCTTGGAGCAGTGCCGTTATTTCAGGCAAAGAAACTACAGGATCCAGGGTGCCCGGAGGCAGGGGGAGTAATATAAATAGCCGGGGAAAGAGTGGAAGCCGTTGGGAGATTGCTGCCAGTGTGTGGAGAAGGAAAGAACTTGTCAGGGAGAGTGAGAGAATTTAGGAAGTCAGAATGAGACTGTGTGCTGTATGGGTGGCGGGACCTATCAGTTCTGGAGAGCCAATCGATCAGCTGAAGACTGCTGGACTAAGACAAAGAGGGTGCAGCTGGATGCTGTGGTCAAGTTCCGCACAGAGGCCTGTCATTTGCACTGCCAGGGGATCTGGAGCATAGAGCACAGGTATGCTGCTTGCTACTGCTGCCATGCAGGACCCAAGCAGAGATCACTGATGTGTCAGAGTCCATTATTCATCTGATCTCTGCAGGAAGCTACCTGGAATCAACACTATCTTAAAGAGGGTCCCCCCCTATGGAAGAAAGCATACTACAACAGATAAAGTGGCGCTGCTGAGTGGGTCATTGATCCATTAGTGACTTCTTTGTTCATTTTGTGCATACCTCTTAGAAAGTCTTATCTTTACTGTTATTTCACAACTGTCCACTAGTTTGGCCTATACCACAGAACATTAACACCTTTGCTGGCCCCTTCCATTTCAGTGTTCCAAGGAACCCATTGTTTTCTAAAACCATTTCACGGAGAGTAGAAATACCCCACATCACATAATTTATTATGTGTGCCAACATTTTCAAGGGCCCTAATGTGCTGGCAGAAGACCATTATGGACTGTACATAGTTCACGTACAACTGAGGGCAGTTTTCATTACATTGCAATCTTCTTTTACAAAAGCCTAGGCTTAGCTCCCTCGTTGCAAGAGCCCATTGCCAACCAAGCCTCTAATTGTGTTTGCGACTTATCTTGGTTGCCTTTTGTTGCTAGTGAAAAGAGCTACAGTTTATGCTGGTCAGATCTGAGTTTATTGTAATGCCATAAACATCTCAAGAAATCCTGTGTGTATTGTGTACGCCATTAAAATTTTCACTGTTTTACCTTCTTTACCTGATAATTAAATTGACATTATACCCTGTTATTTGCTACATGGTCTCTGGCTTCATTTTAGGATGACCCCAACGCAATAACAAAAATGACTAATTTATCTTTACTAAACGTGTATACCTGAAATGTCAGTGGTGCTGAGGCACTTGCCAAGGTAAGAACAGAAGACCCAGTGGCTCTGCTGTAGAAAACACTAACATATTGTAGCACAAATTAAAGCACATTAAAAGTACTGGCTGATGTAACAATGTCACTCATCCTTTGTATAGGGGGTTCTCCATATTACACATACACTATATTGCCAAAAGTATTGAGATGCCTGCTATTACACACACTTGAACTTTAATGGCATCCCAGTCTTAGTCCGTAGGGTTCAATATTGACTTGGCCCACCCTTTGCAGCTGTAACAGCTTCAACTCTTCTGGGAAGGCTGACAAGGTTTATGAGTGCGTCTATGGGAATGTTTGACCATTCTTCCGGAAGAGCACTTGTGAGGTCAGGCACTGATGTTGGACAAGAAGTCCTGGCTTGCAGTCTCCACTCTAATTCATCCCAAAGGTGCTCTATTGGGTTGAGGTCAGGACTCTGTCAAGTTCCTCCACCCCAAACTCGCTCATCCAGGTCTCTATGTACCTTGCTTTGTGAACCTTCATGTTGGAACAGGATGGGGCTATCCCCAAACTGTTCCCACAAAGTTGGAAGTATGAAATAGTCTAAACATGTCCTGGTATGCCAACGCCTTAAGAGTCCCCTTCACTGAACTAAGGGGCCAAGCCCAACCCCTGATAAACAATCCCACACCATAATCCCTCCTCCACCAAACTTTACACTTGGCACAATGTAGTCAGGTAAGAAGACCGTTCTCCTGGCAACAGCCAAACACAGACACATCCATTGGATTGCCAGACAGAGAAGCGTGATTCATTACTCCAGATAACACTCCACTGCTCTAGAGTCCAGTGGTGGCATGTTTTACACCACTGCATCCGATGCTTTGCATTGCACTTGGTGATGTAAGGCTTTGATGCAGCTGTTCGGCCATGGAAACCCATTCCATGAAGCTCTCTACACACTTTTGTGCTAATCTGAAGGCCACACAAAGTTTGGAGGTCTTTAGCTACTGACTCTGCAGACAGTTGGTGACTTCTGCACACTGTGCACTTCAACATGCACTGACCCCACTCTGTCATTTTTCATGACCTACCACTTTGTGGCCGAGTTTCTTTTCCCAGTTGCTTCCACTTTGTTATAATACCACTAACAGTTGACCGTGGAATATTTAGTAGCAAGGAAATTTCATGGATAAACTTATTGCACAGGTGGCAACCTATCACAGTGCCAAACGTGAAATCACTGACCTGAGAGCAACCCATTCTTTCACAAATGTTTGTAGAAGCAGTCTGCATGCCTAGGTGCTTTATTTTATACACCTGTGGCCACGGAGGTGATTGGAACACCTGAATCCAATGATTTGGAGGGATGTCCCAATACTTTTGGCTCTATAGTGCATCTTGTAAGTCTTCATCAGGGACAAGGAGTACTCATATCACATCAAAGGACTAAATACTTGTCAGCCAAGTGGAATTAAAACATAATCCCAGCTTGTGGACCCAACAAGTGTTGGAAAAAGTGTGCAAGTCATGGAATGCTCACAAGGATCCAGGAAACATGAGCCTGCAAGATCTGTGATAACTCAGAGCATATAATGACCAAGACAGTCCTGCCAGTGACATCAAGAAATTGGTTATGTTTACTGATGCAATCATGTAATATGTATGGCTCACCAGGGGTAGACCCATTTATTAAAAATGAATGAGCAGACACCATGTGCCCCATAGCAAATGGCTTGCTATGGGGACACATGAAGACAGAGCAAGAGCCAAGATCGCCAGTTAGGAGACTCCAGGAATAGAGGAAACAGGCCGCTGAAGAAGAGCAAGAGCCAAGATCGCCAGTAGGAGACCCAGGAATAGGAGGATCAGGGCCGCTTTGTGCAACACCATTGCACAGACCAGGTGAGTATAACATGTTTTCTATTTTAATAATAAAAAAAAAAATTAGAGACTTTAGTAAAACTTTGAAGCCTGAGTTTAGTTAGAAAAAAAAGGATTATTAATCCTATGTGTCCCTTGGGCTGCTGGCTCCTGATTTCTTGAAATCTTCATCCTCAGACCCTCAAGGGTTAATAAAATTGAAGCAGCTGTGACAGGCACTCACCAAGAGTGTGTGACTATTCCCCACCCTTTCTGCCACCCTCCCCCATGCATACAAGAAGTACTACAGATTCAATGAATGAAAAGGGATTTATGAATGGCAGGGTCAGACCTTTCAATCATCTGCCTGTCCACCATTCACAGATCACGTTACATTAATAGAAGCTGAAGTAGGGCTTCTATAGCTGTATAGGCAGATGCCATCTACATTTTCCACTGCAGGTGGCTACCATTCGGAATGGCAATGCAGCTGCAGTAGGAAGGCAAGTGAAAATGGGTTTCTCAATTAATTCCTCAGTCCTCCGTGGCAGTGTTTGTTGGCTATGCAGGATCAAGGTGACCTGGTGGCCATCTTGGGTCATGCAGAGTCTTTTTAAGTCAAGCCCCCAGGTTTTGCTAAGTATTTGAGTAGTGGCTAGTGTAGGTACAGAGCACTTGTCAGGGACAACACTAGTGGTAGGGAGAGGTTCCAGAAAAATAGGGAAAAGCATAGGGACTTCATCTGCATCTCAGAAAGATCCCCTTTGGGTTGCTGTCTCCAGCTCAGGCCTACACGCTGCTGACTCTCTGCATAAACTGTTGTAAGTTTCCCGGTTGGATGTTCCTCCACGCCGGCCTGTTGTACTGCTTTAAAAGTTCTGCAATTCACCGTTTACTGCAATCTGGGACTTGTGTGCTTTCTGTCATTGCACCTACCCCACAAATAGAGGGCATAGTTGGGCACTCTTGACCTGTCACAGCTCCTTTAATTCTTTGATGTCTTACCACACTGGAAGATTGCAGCTGTGTGGGGGGGGTAGATTGACTAATGAAGACTTCAAAGTAAAGAAGGAGCCAGCAGCACAAGGGACACAATTAGTGGCAAGTAATGCCCCATCTGCTGATTTTTGTTTTCTTTTTTACTTTGACAAAATTTAGGCTTTAACCCAGATGAAAGTTTATTCCAGGACAAGTTACTAGCAAGAGATGTAAGGAATCTGCTCCTTCAAAAATGAAAATCTGCTACTGTATTTCTATTTTCATAGGTTCAGTTTAAGGTACATTATATTGCCAAAAATATTTGGACACCCCTCCAAATCATTGGATTCAGGTTTTCCAATCACCTCCATGGCCACAGGTGTATAAAATCAAGAAACTAGGCATGCAGACTGCTTCTACAAACATTTGTAAAAGAATCTCAGGAACTTAGTGAATTTAAGTGTGGTACTGTGATAGGTTACCACCGGCGCAAGTCCATCCGTAAAATTTCCTTGTTACTAAATATTTCACAGTAAATGGTTAGTGGTGTTATAATAAAGTGGAAGCAACTGGGAACAGCAACTCCACCATGTAGTGGTAGGCCACATAAAATAATAGAGTGGGGTCAGCACATG